GAATGGCGTGGTTACATTTATTTGCTCTTTGACTAAAATGTTTAGCTGTATTATTGCTAAACATGCCGTTTTTGAGAATTTGATTTTCAACTAGGTTGAGGCATCCAACCACGCCATCAATCCCAGTAAAAACATTAGGTCACATCAGCTAGTTTCCTATCCATTTATTTTATTATCCATGATCCCATGCGGGCGGGGACGAGAAACATGATATCAATTTTCATTGGCCTAATATAGCGGACTGTCATGAATAGCCAACACTGACTGGTCCAATTTAAAATTTGCATTATAACGACTGCATGGCATGACGACAGCGAAATAGCAAATATTTCTTATTTTCTTGATTTGATGATTTCTTGCAAATATATTTTATTTTTGCAAGATTTTGTAAATTTCAAAAGCTTTTTGACAAAATAAAGGCGAAAGAATTGCTAAAATAAGGGAGAAAAGGCGCCGACGTTAACGAAGGTAAGTTTGTTTTAAAAATTGTTTGCATTGTTTGCTTTTAATATACTGTAATTACTCGCTGGGGCACTGTGCCCCGGACGAGTATAGGTTTCGGCATTCATTTTTAGCGCAAAATAGAATATTAATGAGCTGCCTAATTTCCCCCCAATTATCCATAAGGCTCCTGCCAATTTTACCCAAATTATCCATAAATAGCCCTCCATTTTGAGGAAATTTCGGGAAAATTGAACAATTTACAAGGAATTTCGCATGGAAACAGCAACCTTCGCAAATCGCAAGTTTATAAAAGTTTATACGTTTGACTGCGCTGCTTTATATTTTGAGAAGAAAGCTACACCGTTCGATTCAGTGTAAGAACTTGTACTAACAGATGTCAAGTGTACTACTAAACACCCGTATTCTAGCGATTTATGGCCTTTGAAAATGAAGCGAAATTGTATTGTTGAAAAATCGCTCGCAGTACGTATTGTTGATCACAAATCACTCGCACTACGTTTGTCCACAGGTTTGTTCTTGTATTTGTAATGCCTAATGGCGCAATAAGGATAAAAATACCACCGTTCGATTCAGCGTAAGAAATTGTACTTACGGATGTCAAATGTGTTACTAAGCACCAGTATTCTATCCTTTGAATTGAAAATCAAGCGAAATTGTATTTGTTGACAAATCGCTCGCAGTACGTTTCATAGTGTATTTGTAATGCCTAAGGGAAAGTACATTTATTATGCCGAGGGGGGGGGATGAAGATGTTAAGGGGGGCTCCGAAATATTTTCTGGCATTAAAGGGGGGGCTCTGAAAGTTCTTGATATACTGAAGGGGGGGCTCTAAACTTTTCAAAGGTTTGACCCATAGATATCTCATATACACTAGATAGCGCATCCCACCCTGTAGGCAGGCGAAAATTGAAGCCTGATCGCAGTCGCAGTTTACGCGCGGCGGCCATATTGGTCGTTCCCACGGAGCGTGATAATTTGTATATTTTGTATTGCGGAAATGGACAAAGGTGACAATAAATCCTCTTTTATGCAGTCAATTTTGGTTTTTCAAGTGTGCAACTTGTTGTAAATGATGCCAGATCGTTGGAGCTTCATATTGTGAATAACGGGTAGGCAGAATTTAATTTTTTATTTCGAAAATATCAATATTTGTCGACCCGTATGAAGGGCGCCCATAGGACAAACCTTATGAACAAACCATCATTGTTGATGTATATATAAATATAGTTCCACCAATTCCAAATAAAACATTTTGAGCCATCGCCATTGCTTCATGGCAAAATTGTGAATGTATTTGCATATTCTTTTGTAAAAGACAGCGACACTGAAAAACATATTTTAGTCACAGTTTATCAATGGCAAAAATAGACTTAAGGAGGCTCCCTACAGTTCCGTGCGGGATGTTCGCGCGACAAGTACGTGAACTATCCCACGCAACTGCATGATCAAAACAAAACAAAAATTGACCATGCTTTTTTTAAAAATAAAGCTATTTCTGAAAGGTTTCTAATGGAAAAAAGAGTTGAATAATACTTCGTTTTGAGTGCCAAATCACTTGCGAGTCTATACAGCAATTTACATATGATACGAATATCACTAGACCAAAAAATAGCTACGAAACAATATTTTTAATTTTTTTTATACACTGTCAACTGACTCAACTGTAAAACATTTGCAAAATTGCATACAAACGTTTAAAAAGTTGTTTACTTCTCAAGAAAACGTTCACGTTTTTAGTTGTGTTTCTACAAGATTAAAGTGATTATATGTAAACAGAAAAATATTTCAGTTTCATAGCCTAATTGTTCATTTTTAATAGCAAAAAGTACAAAACCGAACATGAAACAAAAAAACACGTCCACCTGTTAATAGGCTGTTACAGCTCATAGATTGAGTAAACGACAGGATTCAATTAGCTTCAACCTTGTTTTCATCGATTTAATCCTTCACAATAATCCTTGGCTGTCCATAGCACTCAAATAAATCGAAAAGTTGACAAAAACAAAACAGTAAAAACAACATTGCGGCTCGATTTTGCTGAATGAAAACTCGTTCTGCGCCCGCGTACAATCTTTTACTAGTCAGCGACGCTTTTCAATAGGGGAATTTCTCGAGTTACACGAGGCTATTTTCAAACTTTATTTGCATTTTACTCATTAGTTTCATCGCTGACCTATCTTCAAATTTTGACCACGAATTTATTTTGCGGTAAATTTTATAAATTTCAAATTTTAAAAAAATCTGTAGTGTGGAAATTTCGCAATAAATTTTTCGCTTTTAAAAAAATCACACACTACAGAATTTTTTTAAACTTTCACCACAGTTGCAGAGCATCATTCCTTATTGATATATGAAATAAAAAAGATAGGTCACCAACATCGTTTTTGAGATAGCGGCACATTTAAGGGTTAAATTGGAAGGCTTTATGCTGTCGTCATGTTGCCATGGGAACATTGACATCGTCGAAATCTAGTTCCAAATATTCCTTTGGTGACCAATATTGCCACCAAGTCGAAAAGAATTCGCGTTCTGCACGAATAAGCCTGTTTTACGGAATTATTGCTTAAACAAGAATAACTGTAGGGAGCCACCTTAAAATCTTAAATAGTCAATATATAAAACATTGAACCAAAAATGGTTCTTACTCCTTACTATTTGTATATTTATTACATACATACATGCAACATATCATATATTATTTTATAGTTCCATGGAATCACATCAAGATTAAAATGTGTTAGAAGATAGAGAAGAATAATTGCAACTTTAATAGTATATTCGCAGGCAATATAACATAATTGATATTGCTTTATGTAAATGTAGTTGATAATCAAACTTTCTAAAACCTTCAATTGTATGAATGCTTCAAACTATCTTTAATATTTGATGTTAAGAAATATTTCTTTCTGTTGAGTCCTAGACCTTTTGTTTTTAATTCAAGCAATCAAACTGCCAAATTACTGTAATTATTAACAGCTAGCATAGGTCATTGATAATCAGCTGAATTTTAGAACTGCTTTGGGAAACCCTATTTTGTAATGAGACACATTACTTCTTGCATTATTGTATATTGTAAGGTCAATGGGATAAACTGCTTGATGCACAGTAGATTTTATAATCTTAAATATAGTTGCACTCACTATTGTATAAATAATTCTATTGTTATAATAAAGTATTACTTTTGACTTTGTGTAATAGTGTTTTCTAATTCTTTGACTCATCAGATGCACAATAATTAAACCTTTCTAAAAAAATAAAATAAATTTGCCAGTACTCTCAGGAATTGAAAACATGATAAACTCTCAATTTTTGCCTTTTGAGTTTAGTGGTTACTGTAAATATCATTAAAAAATGTCCAATTTTAAAAAAAATTTGGAGACCTGAAGAAGTTTTGGTGCCAATTGAAATTAAAAATTTGAATTAAACTCAGAAAATTTCATAGCAATGAGTAAAGTCATTCCTGATGCAAAAAGTATAAGAAGTAATAGTGAAGGGTCAAGTGACAGAATCAAAAATCAAAAGAAAACTTCCCAGGACATTTCATCAGTAAGCAATTTATTTTTAGTTTTTTACAGTATACTATTATATTGATTGAAATTAGACTTGCATTAACATGATAAACATCCCTAAGGATGAAGTACTATGAAAACAGTTCATACAAAATGTTCATCAAGAAAAGTGGTCACCCAAAAAGCAGATGTTTATAATTATGTTCTGACCACTTTTGTTCTGGTTGCATTGTCCATACTGTTCTGTTCTCAGAAAGCAGACACTTATATGCTCTGACCACTTCTGTTCTGGCTTCATTGTTCATTGTCCATATGTTCTGGCTTCATTGTCCATATACAATCTTTTTACTGAGCTAGATCACCATATTTTTGACTCACCAGTTGGTGAAAATCATGTTATATTTCAGTTGACCAAGAGCATCATCAAGAGTTACTGTGAGGTTAAATTTTACCATCTTGCAAAAAAGACCACTGAGAATTCATCTGGACAAAAAATTAGAAAGAAATTAAATAAACTTGTACCTTTTAAGCACCAGTGTGAGTGATTACACAGAATGTATCAGAGAAAGCTAAATATTACTAAAATTTACTATGAAACTGCCCAAGCTGAAAGTGCAGACTCTGCCTCAAACATAATTTTACTAAAGATTTATAGTGAAAACTGCCCAAGCTGAAAGTGCAAACTCTGTCTCAAACGTTTCACTAAAGATTAGAGTGAAAACTACCCAAGCTGAAAGTGCAGACTCAGACTGTCTCAAACATTTCACTAAAGATTTACAGTGAAAACTGCCCAAACTGAAAGTGCAGACTCTTGTTTTTTTACACTAGTATAAACTGCCTACGCCGATAGTCGAAACGTTACTTACCAACTTCCATTTCCATAAAGTGGTGCCAGAAACCGTAAGTACATGTATTGATTAGACGATACTTCACCAGAGAATCACTCACAGATTCAAAACAAGTATATAAAGCCAATGTCGTAATTCGAAATTTTTAGCTTTAAAATGCGATTCAAAGACAACAACATCGCCAATTAATGTTTTTTTCTTGTACCCTTTTCCAAAAAAGCTGCGATTTCAAGGCGAACGTACCTCAAAAAGGTATTTCTAATCCAGAAATGCAAAAAAGCCTCGAAAAGTATAGTATTTTCTATAGCATTTCATTGATGAGTGGGAACGACCAATATGGCCGCCGCCTATTTTCATGGGGGAAACCGCTGAGATTTTTGGCTTCAGTTTTGTATTCCGAGATGCGCTATCTAGTGTATATGAGATATCTATGAGCGTAAGGTTTAGTAAAGTTTTAAGCCCTGTAAAGGCCATAATTTAGTGTATAAAACAACGTGACTGCACTTCGTGCGTTGTTCACTCAATGTACTTTAACCACTGTAAGTTCTATATTTTAATTTATTATAAAGTTTTGGTTTCTTAGTTTAATACTGTGTATACAATGTGGTAAATGCGCCTAGCAGTATTAGACTTAATGATATGAAATCAGATAGCAAAAACTTGTGTTATATAATTTATACCTGTATGTCTTAAGAATGCTTTGTCGTTTGTATTTATACGCGTACTAGAGCAGCGCGTATTAAATTCAACAAATTCCACTTGATCTTGAAAATATTATATATTCTTGCTTATGATTTAGTGAATATTACTTCCATAAACATTAACATTAACATTAACACGCCTATCTGTAATCTATGATTGCTCCTGAACCCGTGCATGGCAACAAATGCATTGCTTTTTCTCAGACACTCATGGCATGAATCGATTCCGTATTCCTTAAGCTCCGACAACAGTGCTCACAAGTCGCCGGCTCGCTGCGAGTAATAAAGGTAATAATTTGTACTATTTTTAGTTCTATTTGCTCTTGATGCCCGCAGTAATCCCTACCTTGCAGGTACCCTTACTGGTACAGTACATTTTATCAGGGGGCCCCCAAAATTTTGCCAGGGGGCCCTAAAATTTTGCCAGGGGGTGCCGGCCACCCCCCGGCCCCAGCCCTGGCTACGCCTCTGTCAACAACAAGCAGCGTATGTTGAAGATATTGGAAGCGTTTCTAGGATTATTCGTAGAGAATGTTTCTAGACGTTTTTGCTGTTTCAAATATTAATTATTGTAACTATATATTTTCAAAATATTTCTTCAACGGGTAAATTAATTTCAAAATGAATATTTCGCAATGAAGCAACATAAATAATCTGCATCTATTTGATTTATTAAAGAAGATTATAAAAGCTAAGTATATGGACATCACAATTAATAGAGGGAAACTTTAATTTAAAAATACTCATATTTCATCTGGGTTACACGAATTCAATGGCCAATTTGGGAAATTCACTACCGGCGGATAGCGCTATCTGGCCTTCGTACAACCAGCCTCAGGGCCGAAGAGAAATGTTTAACCCTTCAACATTTGATCACCAACCTGAACCCTGATCAGATGGCATTGACACTGAAATAACGAACGCAATGGCTGTAATAACCCAACCAACAAGAACAGACATTTTACGACCAAATCTGAAATATAAATGAAAAATAGTTTTATAATTAAACGAAATGGTTAGGTATATACTCCGGTGCTGCCTATAACTTTTACTTACCAACTCAACACTACAATCGTGGCCAATTTTTTGTGAAACGCGCGGTAATATTATATGCCGATAAATTGTTTCAAGTTCAAATGGTTGAGTAATGTCATTTCGATGTTGATATTAATTTGCTCTTCTTCACTTTTAGTAAGTTTTTGTTAATTAAACTAAACAGGCTATTTAGGAAACTTACAAGCACAATGAAAAGAAAAGCAGCGCATGCTTTACACAAAAACTTAAAGCAACAAAATACATAAATATTAAACATTCAAAACAAAATTGCCTTATATTTCACGATTTTCCATAAAATCAATTATTCTTATTTTTTTCAAAGCAAAATTACTTGCAAGCTCATTTTACGAAACGAAACTGAATATTGCTTATCCCACTTATGGCAAACAGGTCTGTTTTAGAGATCAGTGAGATGAGCACCAATACACCCAGAATCCGCTTTTTACTGTGTAAATGCATAACTGCTCAAAAACAATTTTGTACATTCTTTAATTTAGCACAATATGTTTCAGCGATTATAAGTTATTATAACTATGCACCATTTAAGATCAATGGTCTTGATACTGATCACAAACCTATTTGCAGCCCATATAATAGCCACATATGCTGGAACTCCTACAAGACTGACCAAAAAAAAGTTCAGAAATCTATTTCCACCAAGATCAACGGAACCAAATGATACACCGTAGTACACAACGGTACTAGTAAACCTGTAAAGGTTATTGATTTCATCATTTAAATAATTTTATTTATTATATTGAAGATGTTTAATAAAGAGTTTAAGATCTACAAGATGACGCAGTCTCAATTTAATCTTTAAGGTGAGTGCTATACAATTTTTTTACTGTAATAAATATTTTAAGCTTGTTTAAATAACCTTGGCAACCTTGCAAACAGCTAAGTCCGGCTAATTGATTACAATAATCTTGAACTGTCTCTGCCAGTGTAGGCAGTGCCAATAAAATAAAATAAACAAACTTTCGTTCGTAGGGATGCAACTACCTGAAAATATATAAGAAGAATTTCGACGTTTCGAGCTAAGGCCGTTCGTCTGGAGCTACTAGTGGGGGTCAGGAAAATTACATGAGCTTTTATAGTAAGAATATAAAAGTGATCACGTGACAAAAAAAACCCAATCAAATGGATTTAGTCAAAACAAAGTATAAACAAAAAATGTAAATCACATTACAGAATATATTAATACAATGCAATTATAGAAAACACAGCAAATACAACAAAATATATGAAATAAATATGGAATAAGGTAAGAATTAAAAGTACTGTCAATGTCTGCTTTAGACAGGCAAAGACAGATAGAGTTAACATAGGGAAAACTTTCATTAATATCAGAAGGGTGGACAGTGTCAAGTTTGGAAATGAGATGCATTGCGGCTATCATTGTTACCAGAAGGCTCGAATTTCCATATCTGAAACAGTGTGATTACCAGCATTAAAATGTCTGGCAACAGGCTGGTTAGCATCATTGTCAATGACTGCGCGCCGATGCTCACCAAACCTTGTCCTCAAATGTCTTCCAGTTTCTGCTTTATATTGGAGAAACTGGAAGACCTTTGAGGACAAGGTTTGGTGAGTGAAACATATATTTTCAGGTAGTTGCATTAATACCAACAAAAGCTTAATCGATGACAAATTATTTATCTTCATTTAAAGCTTTTGTCTTGCATGAAGAATTTCTTTGTTTCGAAGGAACGTTGTCGTGCTATCTCATTAGTAGCGATATAGGTAGCGCTCGATCCAGATTTTTGAGGAAGAGTAAGGCGTAAGGTGCTAATTAATATTCATAATAGTAAGGATAGTAGTGAGGAGTTAATTATATTCATATTGTTGATGAAGAGGGTGAGGAGTGGCTCGATAAATGAGAGTGAGCAAGAGGTGGGGCGGGGCGGCGCATTGATATATGAAGAGGGTGAGTACTAATTAGTATGCAAGTGACGATACGCGCGATATAAAATGAAGAGGGTGAGTACTAATTAGTATGCAAGTGACGATACGCGCGATATAATATGCAAGGCAAGTTGGTGCGAAACAATTGTTAAGCTAAACTGAGTATATTTTCATCACAAAGGAGTCAATCGCTTATTGTCGCTTATTATCGCAATAACTAAGCATCCCTATAAAATTCGGCCACATTCGTTTCAGCATCATTGCGCTGTTCTTACCGGTCAAAGCCAAACGATGGAGTGTGTCGATAATAACCGATTTCAATATATAATCTTTGTTCACTGTTCAAAATGCACGCACGTCATTGTTCAAAATCGATCACGTGTGTTCTTGTTACCTGGTAACAACGAATCCTGCGAACGCATTATTGACAATAACGCATAAAAATGTGCATTATTGAAAATGGCTGCCAGCGAGGCTGAAATTAATCAGATTATAGAGGATGCAATACCTAAAAGTACGAAAAGACAAACAAGCTGGAGCATTGCTATCTTCAGAGATCAGTAAACCAAGCAAAAACATATAGTATTCGCCACTCTTTCCGTGTGTAAACAAGAGTGCAAGTGTTAATTATAACTTATCAAAAGAAAAGTGACTGGCATGCAATTTGCAGGCTTCTCGCTGAGTTTTTATATTAATTATATTGTTTTTGCATTAACTGTTATTGTTAAACTTTGTACTTTTTCACTGATGTTAATAAATGTTGTCTTAAACTGCAATTGTTTTCTTTTCTTTTGTGGGCAAAAAGGGTTCTGCATTTGCATGCAAGCAGTGAACTCATGCAGATTGTATATTAAATGGGTTAGAGACTGTAAAGTTCGTGTTTTGTTTGCAAATATACGCACTTGCTGATCGTACAATGAACTCGAAATTTTAAATACTGCACTCGGCTTCGCCTCGTTCAGTATTGAAATTTCTCCTCGTTCATTGTACATCAGCGCGTGCTTATATTTGTAAACAAAACACTCACAGCAGTCTCTAACCATTAAGTAACACTGTACTATAAAACCGGAAACCGATAACTCTAATAGGTAATCCTTACTTCTTTGGCACTTACTTCTTTGGCACTTGCTTCTTTGGCACTTCTTTGGCACTTCTTTGCTTGCGTATGCGCCGATGTATATCCCAACGAAAAAAAACTGAGTCAACTAACTATCACGGTTCAGTGCTTGTTAATTATTTGTAGTAGAGGCAAAGAAGGTAAACAAACTAAAAACTGAACTTAATGAGGTTGCGATGGAAAATCACAAGAAGCTGCATGGAAACATGGGATTAGCCAGAGGCTCGTCCACCCGTCTTTTGGACGGGTACTTGTGAACCTGGCAGTTGATGTTAAAACTCTAGGATTTTGTCTGTAGTAATTAGTACAACCGTGTAAGCTTAAATTTTGCTATAACATCACATTAATTAACGTCACTGCACATACATCCACAAACAAACAAACAAACAGACAGACAGACAGGCACGCACGCACGCACGCACGCACGCACGCACGCACGCACGCACGCACGCACGCGAGTACGCGAGCAAGCTAGCAAGCGAGCAAGCAAACAAGCTACAATTTCCTTTGTATTTGAAATATATTATACGTATTTTAGGATGCAGATTTTAAGAATAACTTCGGCGGTATGTTATGTGGACGGATACATTGCTAGTCCTGGCTATACCCCTAGCTGGAATGCTCCAAAAACCATCTAGAACAGAGGAATACTTATAGTTATTGTAGTGCCAGAGCATGACTGCCCTAACCGACTTCAGAAATTTAGGTGTGTCAAGAAACTAGAAAAATGTGGAAGGCTTATACAACTAACAAGAGGATCAACGTAGCCTGCGTAATGCGTAAATGAACCATGAAATGAACGTGGTCATGATATATACTTATACATATGACGGCAAGTCAACAATAATAACTTATTAGTTAATGCCTTAATCCTTTTGTTGTCACAAAAAGGGGCAACCAGTTGCCGCGCCCCAGAACCTCGTTTGGTTTGGACAAAATGAAGCAAACATACAGGCGAATATACTTTGTCTGTGCAGATCGAGAGAATCCATGCAAATCGCGGCAATGGGGAGACATATTTGAAGTGCCAAGACCTGAGCGCTGTGTGCGAAAGTCAAGAAAGATCGTCCAAACCAAAATCTTCTGTTTTACATGAAAAAAGGCATTTGTGGTTTCTTTATGATCAAGTGGAAGAACCAAGCGCCTCGTGTTTTTAATACTGGCATTGCGCTATTTAGTAGCCCACTGCAATGCTGGTACAAGATCGAAGAAAGAGGAGAGACATATCAAAAGTTTACGCGCATGAAAAGTATCAAAATATTACGCGCATAAAAATATCAAATTTTTACGCACACAAAAATATCAAATTCTTACGCACACAAAAAATACCAAACTTGTAGATAAAAAGCGGACGCGGACGGCAGAGGATTTTATAATTATTTATTTTTTTACGCACACAAAAAATACCAAACTTGTAGATAAAAAGCGGACGCGGACGGCAGAGGATTTTATAAACACATTACTACCGCAACCAATTATAATACCCTAAATTAATTAAGTATATCAGACTTAGATCTGTAAAATGAATATGTTTTCACCCGCTCGAATGGCTTCAGCATTCAATTCGTATGTACGATAGCCTATTCGCCGTCTTTCTCGAGAAACGTTTGGAAATATTGAAGAGCGCCTTAGGGAACCGTTAGAAAAGTGATGGAGGGAGGGGAGGGGGGAGGGCGGGGTTAAGCAAAAATAAAAATCGCGCGTGGGAAACAGATAGAAAAAAACTAAATCTACGTGCACCAAAAAGTTTGAAAAAAAATTCGTGCAGACCGTTTCCAATAGGGAAAATTATAAGTCGAAATAAAAAAAATTCGTGCAAGGAATTATATTTAAAAAATTATCGACACAAGCAAAAATTTTTATAAAATATTCGTACAAATTAAAAAAGTCCCCCCCCCCTTTTCTAATGATCCGCCCCTTTGTTTTGGAGCATCTGTTAAGCAGGAGTATTAAATGACATTCACTTGCTGACATTACCGTACTTTAAATATTGCTGAGTTGTTATTTTGTAATGAAAATATTCCTTTTTACTTATATACATAAGAGGTCCACACCTAGCAATGGCCTATATTTGCATCGACGACTATCCTATATATAGATTTTAGAAATTTTATTTGTTAAGGCCGTAGATTTTCATTGGGCACGATAATTGTTTTAATTAATCTCCTAGTGCTGCTCGATCTTTTTCTGTCGTTTAGAGCTTTTGAACGATTGCTCGACATTTTTTCAGTACTTCTGTTCTTGTCCGATATTTTTTCTAAGTTGAATATTTTTGCCGGGACCCGATCGGCAAGGCTATTACAGAAAATGACAGCAATTAAATTAAAGGCAAAAGCTGGACAATATGTTTAAGAACTATTTACTGGTGTAAATAATTGATACACTCAGTGGCGCCGTGGCGGAGCATGGGGGCATGGGCCCCCTATTGTCGCGACCCGCCGGAAAATTGGAAATCTCTTATGTCGTCGGAATCTTCTCGGTCAAGCATACCTGCAGATACGAGCGGGAATTTTACTTCTCTTCGTTGTTGATAATGCGAAGCATGTTTGCCGGAATATAAAATATGTAGATGAAATATCGGAAATCGGACTCAGTTTACGTTCTCCCAATATAAGATTTTAGAATTGTCATATGATTTCATGTATTATTTATGTCTGAAAAAATTGTGTTTGTTGCAAAAATGCTGCCCTTGTCCCCACTGCCCTTGTCCCCTAAATGTTTTTTTTTAATTAAAACGTTAATCTGTGAGTTAATTTATGCAAGCAAAGTGGTGTCCTAGCAAACCTAATTTTGTACTTTTCTAAAATCAGTACGATTTCGTATGAGCAGCTGGCCGCGCAGGCCATAATGATGCACTGTTGCTCAATAACAAGTTATTTTTAGACAACCAGGCGGAATCGGGTGCAAATTTGGCGGTAACAATTTAGCGGTTGCAATTCTATAGTATACTTCATATAGATAACTTTTTTTGCTCTTTCTCCATTCATAATAGCTATATTTATCGATATTCTTGCGAAGAATTTATGCAAATCTTTTAAAGTAAGTTTATTGGTGGATGTCCCCAAAAATATTCACGTACTTATAAAAAATGTCGGACAAGAACAGACAGACCGAAACTAAAACTATCGTTCAAAAGCCTTGAACGACAGAAAAAGATCGAGCAGCATTAGGAGTTTAATTAAAACAATTATCGTGCCCAATGAAAATCTACCCCTGCATCAAATGGTCGGCCTTGATAAAATTTCTAAAATGCATATATAGACAGGGCCGCCGAGAGAATTCTCGAGGCCCGGAACAAATCTTCTCTGGAGGCCCCATGACATCATTATTTTTAAGCTAGACCCAACTAGACCTTAGCTGCACTGCATGTAGAGGTATTGTAAGGGCCCTCAATTTCAAAATCTGACCAATTTAAAGAACCTACTCAATCTTAGGCTCTCGCTCCGGAGCAATTTCCTCCCCCCCCTCTCCTGTATATAGATTGCAAATATAAGCCATTGTTAGGTGTGAAACTCTTAGGTATATAAGCAAAAAGGGATTATTTTCATTGTAACATAACGTACGACGCAGCAATTTTTAAAGTACGAGAATATCAGCAAGTGAATGTCATTTAATACGCTGAAGGGCTACCGTTGTTTTTAAAGAAGATTAAATAATGATAATAATAATAATAATACTCCTGTTTAACATTATATTTCCAAACGTTTCCCGAGAAACACGGCGTAAGCTTTTCATACGTACGAATTGAATGCTAAAGAATTCGTGTGGGTGAAAACATATTCATTTTTGACAGATGTAAGGCTGGTAAACTTTAATTTAGGGTATTATAATTGGTTGCGGTAATAATGTGTTTATAAAATGCCCCGTCGTCCGCCCTCTGCCATCCGCGTCCGCTTTTTATCTACAAGTTTGATATTTTTTGTGCTCGTAAGAGTTTGATATTTTTTGTGTGCGTAAAAATCTGCTATTTTTTGTGTACGTAAAACTCAGTTGATATTTTTTGTGTGCGTGAAATTTGATATTTTTTGTGTGCGTGAAATTTGATATTTTTGTGTGCGTGAAATTTGATATTTTTTGTGTGCGTGAAAATTTGATATTTTGATTACGGATTTTAATATTTAATGCATGCGTTTATATATTTGTTACAGATGTTTTGATATAAATTGTCTATGACTTTGGTATAACGTTTGGCGATTTGATATTATTTGGGACGTTTCATCGTTGTATTGCGAGTTTTGGCATTTTAATATTGGCTTTGATATTATATTCAAAACTTTCATAATATTGTCCGTAACGGAACGCCATTGAAAACGGATTCCGTTGCACCCCTTGTGTAACAGCATAATTTTTACATGAATAAATAGATAAAAACTTTCTTTATCAGAATCCGTTGCTCCCCAAGCGAAATAGGTGCACAATTGGGAGAAAAATCCCTCCAAAGTTTGATATTTTCGCGCTTCGCATGATGACATATTTAACTTTAACTTCATTACTATAGATGAAGTAATTGATGCGCTAAATCTCATTCAGTCAAAAAATCTTCAGGACTGGATGGAATTAGTGCAAGACTGTTAAAAGACGGAACACACAATATTGCTGGGCCATTGGTTGATATTTTCAAGCTGTCATTACGGACCGCTATATTCCCTGACGACTGGAAGTTAGCAAAAGTAACACCAGTCTTCAAGGACGGTAATAGGAATGACTGTGGAAATTACAGACCAATTTCTGTAATCTCCGTTGTTGCTAATTGGCAATAGGCATATCAACAGCTAAAATCCTTTATGACAATAAACAACGTTCTTGTGGACCAGCAGTCGGGTTTCCGTTTTCAACATTCCACGGAAACTACGTACTCTGCTTAGTTCTACAAATGAATGGTTGTATAATATGGATAGGGGCCTCTTTACTGGAGTCCTATTCTTGGATCTTAAAAAGGCATTTGATACTGTTGATCATTCAATTCTATTAGCTAAATTAGAAAAGTATGGCATCCAAGGGAGAAGCCTTGAATGGTTTAAATCGTACCTCAAGGACAGAAAGCAGGTTTGTTCAATTAATGATAAGAAATCGTCTGCAAATGATATTAAATGTGGGGTTCCACAGGGATCGAATCTTGGTCCCATCCTCTTTCCTCTTTATATTAATGTCGATCTCCCAAACAGTTTGAAAATGTCATAACCTTCAATGTTTGCTGACGATGCAAATTGTAACCTGTGTTGGACAAAGCTCGAGTGAAATTGAAAACAAACTTAATGAAGAGCTTAAGAATGTCCACCAATGGCTAACAGCAAATAAACTTACTTTAAACGATGAGAAAACCAAGTTCATGCTCATCGGCTCAGGATCACGTCTTGCCTGTGTCCATAATAGCCCAATATTGAAACTAGGACACAGACATATAAAGCGTGTACACTATAAAAAGTCACTAGGTATGGTCCTCGATGAGCAGTTGAAGTGGAACAAACACAATGAAGTTCAATGCAAAAAAATTTCCAATATATAGCTCTGCTAAAAAGAGCTAGACCTTTCGTTCCTAGACACACATTAATTAAAATGTATAATGCCTTTGTTTTGCCTCACTTTAATTACTGCTCTACAATATGGAACGATGGATCATGTACTATAATTAATACATGAACTTTCAAAATTACAAAGGAGAGCTGCGCGTGTAATTACTTCAAGTACATACGATATTCGTTCCTCCCAAATCTTGAAAGACCTTAATTGGAAACCAATTGAAGATGACTTAAAAAATAGGGAAACTGTTATGACATTCAAAGTTTTAACCGGGCAAGGACCGAATTATTTACAGCAATTATTTACTGAGTGCAACAACGATAATTACAGTCTAAAAAGTAATAACACCAAATTGGCATTCCCAAAACCAAGGACCAGTTTCTTAAAAAGAAGATTCTCATATATAACGAATTATCTAATGATATAACTGAAGATTTCTGCGAGCTATCAGTCAACGCTTTCAAACGGCGACTTGATAAAACCGCTTAATTGGTTGGATCATTTGATTATACATTAATTATACCTTAATTTAGTATTGTATCATAGTAAATAGGATTTCGTTTTTATTACACGGCCCTTTGAAAACCAGTACCTCTTGTAAATATAAAGTTAGTTTTTAATAGTTACTGAATAGGCTACCGTGTGTAAAGATTTTGATTAATAATAATAATAATTCGACCGCCATTGTTTTGATAGCAAATACGCATGCGCAACTCAGCCAAACTCGCACTGCGCACCCGCACAACCAACGCACATGCTTCGAAGTGGAAACACGTTCAGTTATGCAAATAAATCATGGCTGAAGATATTTATAAAAGTCGAATATCCTCATGTTTTATGCATTTTGATGGCGTTACGGAGCAAAGTTACACGCCAAAGGCTTAAGAAATTTCTTGAGTGTAGGTCAAAATGGGCCAAACTTAAATGTCAACAAACTGAAATAGCTAAGAAATCGTACGAGAACATCGATGACGGATCTGTAATTCATACATGGAGAAGAACCCTGACACCATTAACTTAGAGTGGTACCATCATATGAAATGCTGGAAGAGATTTTGTGATGAAGAGAAGTCCGTAGAAGTCAATCAGTCGCAGAAGCTATAAATAAGGCCTTGCCTAAAAGAAACGCGCATGTACTCCCAGAGATATGTATTATTTGTGGAAGAGACGCCTCGTGGTTCTCACTAGATAAGGTATGGTCATTTTGATAGGTATAATAATAAAATTCTCGGGTTTGGTTTCCACAACATTCACGAGTTTGATTTTAAAATATATTGAATTGTGATCAATTAAGTTTATTTAGGGTAAAGTAGTTTCTATGCTACAAACATCCAACCTTGTTATTAGCAGATATTTAGTCTAATAATTTTGTTTCACACCAGGTAACTAAGAATAGAAGAAGAACCCCACTCATGTTGGCAGAAACAATTGATGCTGGTCTTCTACGTAGAGCTGCTGAGAGAAAAAATGATGAACGGATGTGCAAATCTGGGGGAAAGACTGTGTAGCTCTGGAAGTCCGCCATCACAAAGTTTGCTACTGCAATTATACAATATTTCTCACCAGAGAGACGAAGAAGTAATCGGAGACTGAAAGATCTACATCGGTGTACGAGAAGTTTTATGACGAATTCTGAATAGGAAAGTAATCGAGACGGAAGTCATCGGAAATAAGCAAATAAGTATATGAAAGATTTGCTGGAGAAGTTTGTTATCATTGCTGAGAATGTGGACGCATATAAATACTGTAGCCGAGCTTTTTAACTCAAGCAACAACTGATGAAAAGTTATCTCCAACTTGTGTTCTGTGTACCGAAAATGAGAAATGTTATAGTGAGATTGTATATGTGGAAAATTTGGATTCTTCTGAATTGGTTGAGGATCATACAGTATGTCAATTAAGTCTGAAAACAACGATGATGAAGAGAGCCGTACCATTGATGATGATGATGTGAATTTCAACACAAACACTGAGGGAAATTCTAAAGTCAATGAGTTACAAATTCTATACAATGCTGCATTGATCCTTCGCCAAAAGGTGCAAGAAATACAAAAACTGAATCTTCCTTGGCCATCATTGGCATCTGATTTGACAATGGATAATATTTCAAATCCGACTATGTGGACTACACAAGATTTCAAGTTCGCGCAATTTGATCACGTCCGAGGGGAAGCAGCAACTGGACTGCAGTCCAAATTGGAGAATTTGAAATGGCATCTCATACGAATAAATCACTGCTTAATTAATTTTGATCCAGTCCAAGGACTGAATTAATTTTAATCCAGTCCTAGGACACTACAGCATCAATATACTTCAGTGAGAAAAATAACGCAATATGTGAGCAAAATAACGCAATATGGTTGGCTAATTTTCTCATGAATTATTAATGATTTGAGGTGAACAATGAGGTGTCAATTATTTACTTATTCGATATTCTCATTCGGATCCACAGTATTTATATTATCAACACGTATATCCCTCTCATGGACAGGGTTAACAGTATGGTCATCTCTGAGAAGCTGAAAGCATCCGGATGAAGGAGCTGAAACACACAGCAGCAAATCTATAAGGAAATGTCAACTGGTGTGGACACGAAAAAACCAGGTTGAATCGTTCCTTGTTATTCGAGATAGTGGCTAAATACCAACTTATGTCACAATATAAATAAAATATATGTAATAGTTCAAATATGAGAAGTAGAACTTTACCAGACAAAAGCCAGGACAGCTTATTGCAGAATACATGAATCTCGTTTTGAGCGTGTAAGCCTTGGCCAGGATCCAATAAGTGGGATTTTATTGCTCTGATGAAAATCTGGGTTCAAAGATGAAAACATTTCTTTCAATTATAGATAGTTATAATGAAATTATGGATTTTATATTTCCTCCCAATTTATCTTTTTTTATGATGAATTTCGAGTTGGTGCCTGGGACATGTTTCTTTCACAGTTCAAGGTCCTTCACTGGTGAAGTCCGGCTTCGTCAGTTGGAACAGATGGTTGGAAAATATGGTTGGAGCGAATGGAAAAGTTGGTCCAATCCAGGATTGGTATCCATAGAGTATACTAAACGATGGTAGAACGCACAGTTTAAGAATCGCCAAACATCTTGCATATAGTTATTCAATAATACATTAAAAATTCAATCAGAGGTTTTCCTAGGAGTTTATATAAATAAACCTTAAAGCCCGGGAGGAACTGGGAAACACTGTTGTCATATTATTATGACATGGAACTTAACCTAAAGTCAACAATTTTTCTCAAATATGTACTGCAACTATGTGGGGGAGAAAATTGCAATTCACAAACTGAATTATCCAACTTGCAGACGGAATTATCTGACACAGGAAAAGGAAGTGTTTGCCATTATGTGAAATATAGATTTAAAGAAGCGTTTATATTGTATTGGGCAGAGCAGTTTCAACCTGTTGAAAATACTGGCAAGCTAAGAACTCTTAGGAAAATAAAAAAAAATTTGAATGTGAAAAATACTTAAACGAAATTAGCAATTTCAAAAACCGTCAAGATATCACAAAGTTAAGAATATCAGCACATAAGCTAACTGTTGAAACTGGTAGATACAACAATGTGCCATACAATGATAGACTAGGCAGACTTTGTGAGTTAAATGAAGTAGGAGATGAACATAATTTTTGAATGTCCTGTACAAACATGAAGTTCATCGACCACAGGACAAAATTCATTGATAATTTATATCAAATAAATTCGACGTTTTGGCTACTTTTGATAGCCTGGTCTACCGTACACTTACGTGTGCGTGTGTGTGTGTGTGTATGTATGTGTATTTATATTTATCAACCTTGTTCATATATTTATATATTAATATTTATGTTATTGTTATAGATTGTAATGACTTATTTAGTCATTACTTACTTTCCAATCTTTCGGTATGTCATATTGTCTTGTCAGCGTCGGCAAACGGGTAAAGAGTGTTTCATCAAATGCTTCTGAATTTGGTAGGAAATAGTTTGCTTTCTGGGAAGCAAATTTTGCTTCTGCAATAAAAGCCAATTAAAAATCACGAATATTTCCGCGACATTGTTTCTTACGTTTGGCCAAGGCTTTAAGTTTAGCGAAATATTTCATTTGTTCTTTGATCGTGTGAATTGTATGTATATATTTAATATTTTTTATTCTCCGTCCTGTTTGATACAGGTGGTTTTTTACCTCACACAAATTTGTATTGAATTAGGATGTTAATATAAAGTAGAATTAAACGTTAAAACGGTATTTTGAAACAATAATAATAATGGAAACTTTAATAATTTTGTTATATACTATATATATATATATACAATTGTAAATCTCACTAATTTAAGGTAACTTACAATGGACCTTTAACCCTATAGCTCCCGGGGCCGCAATGCATCTGGGAGTTGGGTATCTTTTGCATTCTTGTTCGAAATGGTCGCCATGTTGCGAAAATTTTATTGAGTGTCAGAATTCAATATTTTCACTTGTTTACGTGTGGCAAATAACCGCCTCAACGACGTATTTTTGACGGGGTACTTTCGACGACATTTGTGGAAAAAATGAGCGAAATCGCCGCAGTGATGGCCAAGAAAAGGCATTTCATATCGATCGAAGGAGTGGGCATATTTCGAGAAAAACATTCTCTTCGCAACGTCTCCTGTCCTGTTTTGAGGTGAGTGTCCTTCTGCATGATATTTTAGCTAATTCTTTTAGTCTGTGGCTATTTCAGGGTGTTTTTTCTACCCCTATTTCGTATTAGTTGTACTCTTAAACGTCTGATCTTGTAGCCCTGAGAGGTTACTTTGATACATATTTGAACGATTGTTTTCGAAATTAACATGGCCGACTGGCCTTTAAACTTGAGCAGTTTTGGCGCGAAAATGAGCCGCTTGAATTCTGTTTTGTTTAAAATACACTAAAGTCATACTTGCTGGATATTTTGCTGCTGTTTTTGGTTCTGTTTATCCTTCGAGGCTGCTCTGGTTTTTGTCTTCCTAAAGCTCGTTGGTATCACTTGAAATAATATCAATACTAAGTAATTTTTAGCCTGTACTAAACCATAAATTTCCTATCTAAAAATTAAGTTTCGTATTGTTAAATTGTTTATTCATTTAGTAGGGCTATAGGTAATACAATTTAGCTTTAACAAATTGTTTTTAATAAATGTAATTTAGAAATAAATTTTAAAATATCATATTTGTAAATATTGTATATAAATTTATAAATATTTTAGTGTTAGTTAAATTTTATTAAATATAATCAGTTCTAAATTAATAAACTAGTAAGTATAAATGGAAGACAATCCTTGCACCTCAATGGATGCAGACCAATGCACAGAGTTTCTGGAACAAAAAAAAATAAAGAAAACTTGTGGAGGGAAAAACTGTTGTGTTCTACAGTGTGGAACACTACGAAATCCTGAGCTTTTGTTTTAGTCAATACCTAAGGATGAGAAACTAAAAAAGAAATGGCATAAAGTTTTAAAAACAAAGGGGTTGTTGGAAATAAAGCATTATTACAGGGTGTGCTCAGCACATTTTCCTGACGGAAAAAAGAAGTACATTAACAATGGTCCAACCATATTTACGAACTGTGGAAGTAATCAACCAAGAGAGAGAGTGTTGCGAAAGCCTGATAGCCACTTACCAGATGAGCCTCACGACACTTCTTTCGAGGATATTTTTGAATGCAGCAATATGATAACACCTAAAGATAACATGGCAACTGAAGATAACATGGCAACTGTAGATAACATGGCAACTGAAGATAACATGGCAACTGTAGATAACATGGCAACTGAAAACACAAACATTAGTTCTTTGACAGATGAGCTAACTACTTCTAACTTTAGTCAACATGGCAATACAACATCAGAGCATGACATGCTAACTGAGAATGCTGAATTAAAAGAGCAAGTTAAACAACTCGAATCCAAATGTACATCCCTTGAAAAAGATCTTGAGGCTTATAAAATGTCATCACAGCAATACGTATTTCGATTGGAAAGATTTATTGGGAATGATAGTGATTTTCGATTTTATACCAGTTTCCCAGATTATGCAACATTCAAAATTTTTTTGATTACTTGTCACCAGCATGCACTAGTTTGATTTACTATGGGTCAAATACTGGTAAAATAACCACAGCTAAACAGAAAAAGTGTGGCAAAAAAAGGTCCACCTCACCAGAGCAAGAGCTATTTATGGTGTTGGCTAGATTGCGTTGTGGTTTCCTGCAACAAGATCTAGCACACAGATTTGCATGGCATATCGTGTATGCATGTATCCCGAATTTGGATTACTTGGCTGACATTTCTTAATCAGCGACTACGTGCACTCCCTATTTGGCCCACAAGAGAATGCATTGATAAAAACATGCCTTTGTGTTTCAAGGAAAACTTTCCACAAACTAGAGTCATTATCGATTGTACAGAAATAATGATTGAAATATTGTCATCATGCAGGAGCCAATCTGCCACTCTTTCGTCATACAAAAACCATAATACTGCGAAATGTTTGCTTGGTGTGTCCCTAAATGGGTACCCTAGTTTTGTCTCCAGTTTGTATGCTGGTCGAACCAGTGACAAAAAACTAACAAAGGACTGTGGGATCCTTAATCTGCTTGAGCCGGGTGATCAAGTTATGGCCGACCGGGGTTTTGACATTGAGGATGACCTCCCCGCTAACACAACCTTAAACATCCCTCCTTTTTTAAATGGCAAAGATCAACTTAGCCTTGAAGAGGAAGTCAGAACAAGAAAGATTGCTTCTGTTAGGGTGCATGTGGAGAGAGCTATCGCACGAATAAAAAATTTTAGGATTCTTCACCAAGTTGTGCCGATCACAATTGCTAAGGACCTAGACAAAATCTGGACTGTTTGTTCATACTTAACGTTGTTCTTGCCTCCTATAATTGTTGAAAAAACAAACACAGATTAAAGACATACTGTTATTGGTTATTGTATGTGAGTGTGACAGTAACATCAAAAATACTTTAATTTTAGGGTGGTACACATTCTATAAGTTTCAAATTTTATATGTATAATAGCACATATCAGTGAAGTTTAAACTTAATTAAGCATGTTCCACCACTGTTACTCTGTTAATTACAGTGTTATTAGAATAAGTAAATTATTGTGAAAGTCAGGTTAACAACTAAGTCTAAGTAGACTTTAACTTTGGTAACACATATTCAAAATAAAAACTTGTTAACTCTGGGACCATTGTTTTTTCCCATAAGGAACTATTAAATTTTATTCTTTCAATAAACAAATCTTTCTTTGTATAAACAACAAAATCACACCACTGTAATTGTAGTGTAGCCATTGAACCCTGAATCTGATAAAAGTATGCATGGTTTCGTTTGAGCATGATCTTATCTTCTGTAGCACTAAGAAAAAAACTGTGATCTTCGCAAGCTTCTTTAATAGTATTCTCTCGTTTCGAAAACGGACATTTGACTTCACCAAGTCCGAGAGAGCATGTTTGTTCATTTGAATCATTCACAAGAAAATCTGGGCTTGCACCCAGCCAAGGAAAACTTGGGTTGACAATAAAACCACATGCCGAGCACACATCAACTGAATTGCCTTCTTCCTGCTTGCACTCCATGTATTTTCTTATAGCTTCCAGTTCATTATCTTTGCCCCATTTGCAAGGTTTTGGACAAACCTTTTTTGGACTACAATGTAGTGTTTTCATTAAGGACTTTGGATATATATTTTTCCGTCTTTTAAGAATTGTCCCAAAATTTGAAGTTGTAATTCTTTGCCTTCTCTCCTCAAACCACCTATCACAATCTGACTGACTTCTGCTATTCCTTTCAATTTCTCTCAACTTCTCATCACTTACACTCAAACCTCCCACAAACTCCACATTGTCCCCATCAACATAGGACCAATTAACACCATGGTGACAATATGCTCTAACACTTCTTCCCTTACTTTATTATCATTAATATTATTTTCAGTTTCCATTAGCTCTACATGTTGTTTTTTTGATGGAAGACTTTGGTGAATTTGGTCAAAATTGTATGGTTGGTAATCATTTGATTCTAGCACAAGTCTGAGATATTCAGCTTTACCTTGTTGTTCTAAATTGTGTGCAAATTTTTTTACTTTATCTTGTGTTATGTTTCTGGCAAATTGTGGTGTGGGATTAAAGTTATCTGCTTTGCTTTTTCCATCACTGCGCTTTCTGCCCTTTGCATCTTTTTCATAGCATGCCTTTTCAAATGTCACATCCTCATATAAAACAGGCTTGTCAACCTTGTCACCTCCAGGCACATGCCACTGCTGTAAGACTTGTGTGCACGTCAAATCGTCTGGCACCTCTGTTAGTTCCAACTCAATATAATCAAGAATTTGAAAGAGAACAGCAGCAACATGCTTACAACAGCCTCCCTTGCCAGCCTTACAAGTACAACTACCATGTGTAACTTCACCAGTGTTCTGATTTAGATGAACATAAACAATATATATTTGTTTCTTCATTGATGCATTGACACAAGCTTTTACCAAGAAGTGAGTTTCGCTACCTTTCAAAACATCAGCTTTAACTTCGACTCTGTTTACATATCTATCCTTAAACAAGCGATATCCCAGTTTCTTGTGTCTGCTAGCATCATTTCCCCCTTCAACTCCCAAGTGCTGTCGTAGCAAGGCAAGGCTAAATTTTGGCAGTGACCGTAGGTCTTTGGTCCATCTTTGCATTTCTATTTGCTCTGTGCATTGGTCTGCATCCATTGAGGTGCAAGGATTGTCTTCCATTTATACTTACTAGTTTATTAATTTAGAACTGATTATATTTAATAAAATTTAACTAACACTAAAATATTTATAATTTTATATACAATATTTACAAATATGATATTTTAAAATTTATTTCTAAATTATATTTATTAAAAACAATTTGTTAAAGCTAAATTATATTACCTATAGCCCTACTAAATGAATAAACAATTTAACAATACGAAACATAATTTTTAGATAGGAAATTTATGGTTTAGTACAGGCTAAAAATTACTTAGTATTGATATTATTTCAAGTGATACCAACGAGCTTTAGGAAGACAAAAACCAGAGCAGCCTCGAAGGATAAACAGAACCAAAAACAGCAGCAAAATATCCAGCAAGTATGACTTTAGTGTATTTTAAACAAAACAGAATTCAAGCGGCTCATTTTCGCGCCAAAACTGCTCAAGTTTAAAGGCCAGTCGGCCATGTTAATTTCGAAAACAATCGTTCAAATATGTATCAAAGTAAACCTCTCAGGGCTACAAGATCAGACGTTTAAGAGTACAACTAATACGAAATAGGGGTAGAAAAAACACCCTGAAATAGCCACAGACTAAAAGAATTAGCTAAAATATCATGCAGAAGGACACTTACCTCAAAACAGGACAGGAGACGTTGCGAAGAGAATGTTTTTCTCGAAATATGCCCACTCCTTCGATCGATATAAAATGCCTTTTCTTGGCCATCACTGCGGCGATTTCGCTCATTTTTTCCACAAATGTCGTCGAAAGTAACCCCGTCAAAAATACGTCGTTGAGGCGGTTATTTGCCACACGTGAACAAGTGAAAATATTGAATTCTGACACTTAATAAAATTTTCGCAACATGGCGACCATTTCGAACAAGAATGCAAAAGATACCCAACTCCCACATGCATTGCGGCCCCGCGAGCTATAAGGTTAAAGGTCCATTGGCTATTTGAATCACAACTATATGAACTAATAAAAATGATAAGACAGAATACATGAAAATATATAAATATACAAGACAATCAGATATTTCAAATAGTTAACAAGTCCGGACTTTCCCATTCCTTATTTCGGCAGCAAAAAATATAGTATGTACTTCGAATGGCAATAGTCATCATTTTCCTAACACAGTACGTTTGGTAGTTTTTGTCCATAATAATAATAATAATAATAATAATAATAATAATAATAATAATAATAATAATAATAATAATAATAATAATAATAATAATAATAATAATAATAATAATAATAATAATAATAATATAACAAAGTAATTATAAGATAACAAAGTATACAATACATACAACGGAGTACATAATACGACACAAGAAGTATTACAATACGTAGTATGTTGTACATTACAGTATTTAACAATTGACATTACTTATACACAGTAAAATACAGCATAGTTATACGCATAATGTCAACAGAGTTTACGACGTGTCACTAATTCTGTTTTTGACTAATGTTTTGAAGTACTCGGAGGAGGTTCTGCAATAATCTTTAAATGCATCGCAGTTTCGAATTTCTTCAGGTAAGGAATTGAACACTCGAGCTGCTTCATCTTGGAAGGTCCAGAGATAATAGGGACTACTAGACGCCGGGCAGATGATGATCGTAATGGTCCTATAGGAATATATTCCTCTAATTTTAAGTATTGAAGGCCAGTCATCACAATTCATTGTTTTGTATGCTAATTTGGCAAGATGATAATTCCTACGTTCCAAAATTGGAAGCCAACCGAGAGACATGACATCAGTGAATCTAGCAAAGCCAGCAGCAGCGAACTGTACTCGTTGTAAGCGTTTTAATAGGTATTCTGGTGCTGGACTAGACACGACATCGTTGTAATCAATTTTTGATAGCACCAGACACTCCGCGAGTTGCTTCCGAATTTTAAATGGTGCCAAATATTTCAATTTTCTCAAGACGGATAATGTAGCGTAACAACTTGAGGATATTTTTGTTTATATCATTCCATTTTAAATTTTGATGCAATGTAGTACCAAGAAGAGCCGCACATTTAATTTTTTTAAAGGTGATCTACAGTCCGTATGTAAACAAAGCCTTTGTTCACATTTTTGTGTCCAAAATATTGAGCTTTATTCGACGACTATTTATATTTTCAAGCTTCTAGAGTATAATAAATGATCAAGAAACAACAATTAGGCTTTTCAAGAACTCAAAACATAGTTAAACTGTTTGTATCATAAAAAGTGGGCTCATTTGTGCACATGCGCAGATCGGACTGTAGATCACCTTTAAGTTCAGTTCCATTAGCATGAAGATGAACAGAGCGATCTTCATCAAGTTGGTGCACACGAGAGAGTTGACTAGTCGAGAAAAGCATGACTTTTGTCTTATTGGGGTTAAGAACAAGGTTATTAGAATTTTCTCTTCATTGAATTTTCTCTTCACATGACTTTATGTCAGCTGGCTTACAATGTGCATAGATGGTAGTTTCATCGGCATACTGATGTGAAGATATAGAGTCGTCAAAGTTTTCAGAGAGATCATTGACATATAGGTTGAAGAGTACAGGACCAAGTATAGACCCTTGTGGAACTCCAAAACAAAACAAACTTGAACAAACTGTCGTCGACCAGTCAGATAGCTTGTGACCCATTTGTGATACTCTTTGGAGAAACCTTGTGAATGGAGTTTTCTTAAGATGGTAGAATACGACACAGTATCGAACGCTTTCGAGAAATCTGCGAGAACAGCTATTGTGACTTCACCTCTTTTCATAGCTCGCTGAATATCATCTCGCATTGCCAACATAACTGTCGTAGTGTTGTGACCTTTTCGGTAAGCACTAATGGATTGATTAAGTACTCCAGTGGTTGTGGTTACGAAATCAGACATTTGGCGGAGAACGAGTCGTTCAAAGATTTTGGATAGGCTTGGCAGAATGTAAATAGGACGGAGATCGATAGCCAATGAATTGAAGTGATTAATTAGTATATGAGCAAGCAAAATATACAATGTGTTTTAAACAATATTTAATATGTGGGTGTATTTATATTACAAGGTTTGATCAGTATTCCGTGATTTTATTTTGTTGTTTTTGCGGAGGAAATCGTGGAAACCCCATAGTGAGAATCTATTTTTATAGTCTGCGCGTGCGCAGTGCGAGTTTGGCTGAGTTGCGCATACGTATTTGCTACCAAAACAATGGCGGTTCAAGTATTTCGAAGCGCGAAAATATCAAACTTTGGAGGGATTTTTCAACCAATTGTGCACCTGTTTCGCTTGGGGAGCAACGGATTCTGATAAAGTAAGTTTTTATCTATTTATTCATGTGAAAATTACGTAGTTACACGAGGGGTGCAACGGAATTGAATATTTTGGATGCTCATCCTACGGCCTACTGTAGGCGTGTGGACAGATTATTATCCGAATTGTACCGGGTGTCACTGTTCGACCATCCAAATGAGATTTCACGCATATGTTCACCAGTTGCCTGCATTGTTGCACCGAGATGAAAGTACGGATATTAGAACGAATGAAAGACAGCCTTTTGATCTTAATTAAAATAGGTGAACAACATGCTATTCAATCAGTTAACTTTGCGCAGCTGAACTCAATACATCAATATCTCGCGGGGTACACCTTTTGTGTAGACAAAAATCTATTGAGAGACCTTTATGGCACGCTTTTTTTGTTGGATTAGGGATGTCCCGGCGCGATCTTGTATTTTTAAAAACAGAAAAATATATATTCCGCTTACCAGTTTTGATGTGTTGTTTTTTTTCATCCGACCATATTTTAGAAAGTATTAGCATTTATTATATATTCATTCGATCGTGATTGATCATGCAGTTCCCGCTCCGTACACTCACAGTTTTCTCACAAACTGCTATTTTATCTTCACTAATTTCACAGCAAATTTTTTCATTGTTCAACGACACTAATCGATGACGATACACGATGATGTCACTCAAAAGGGCAAATTTATATTAACCAGTCTTCCTTTTAACAGACCGGTTTTGCTCGAATCATTTTGAATTACAGTACGCAATCTTATGCGTGTTGGACGTAAACAACATATCTTGTCTACAACTTTGAGAAGGTACAGATAATTCTTTCCATCAATCCTTAGGTCTGACTCTATCTCTATAAAATCACAAGGATTTGTGATTCGTTAATGTTAAGTCTTTGGGCTATGTCTCTCGGCTGAGAAACAATTCCTTACATGCGATAAAATGTTTTATACAAAGATGTAAAACGGTAATCTTATGTAAATAACCAGCATTTAAACTTCGTAAAAGACGTAATTCAAGAGATAGCTTATCATTGCATTTGAACTATTACATCAGTTAGTGTTACGCTGTACGATGAGCGAATATTATTGGAAAGAGGACTTCCATATACGTTGAAATCACCAAATAAACAGCTCATGCACACATTTCTCCACTTCGTCGTAAGTTTACAGAGCATATTTTATACTTTGGGACTGATCATTGTCTTTGATGTGAACATTTATTCTTAGTTTAAGGTTATTTAAGATTGATCCTGTCGTAAGTGTTCTACCAGCAACCGATCGACAATATTTCATTTTAGCGTTGTCTTTGCGGTTACGTTGGCTTCGCGTTAGTTTTGTTCTAAATACCTTGATACGTTTCAGGCCAGTGACATAGCCAAAAGACTTCGCATTAATGTCCTTGTGATTTTATAGAGATATCTCTAGAACTAAGGATTTTAGAAAGCGTTATCTGTACTTTCTTAGTCAAAGTTGTAGACAAGATATGTTGTTTACGTCCAACACGCATAAGATACAAAACCCAAAATGATTCGAGCAAAATCGTTCTTTTGTTAAAAGGAAGACTGGTTAATAGAAATTGGTCCTTTTGAGTGACATAATCGTGTATCGTCATCGATCCGTGTCGTCGAATGATGATTGCTGTGAAATTAGCGAAGATAAAATAGCAGTTTGTGAGAAAACTGCATGCGGGTGTACGAAGCGGGAACTTTTCGAATTTGAACTCAGCGTGTTCGAAAGTGTTCATGTTAGTTCCCGTAAAAATATTTCAGATCTAAGATATTCTAAATGCAAATCGCTTTCTAGGCACTTTTCGAGGTCACAACACACGGACTATACGTTATTTACATCACTTTCACGGCTCATAACCACACCAACAATTAAAACGTTCGAAGTCGTATGGGTGTTTAATATCAATTCAGTCACTCAGCACCACTTTTAGCGTTGTTTGTAAAGAAAGATAAGTATATACTTTCAACAGGCAAATAACATCTAGTAATTGTATGCAAAGCAAAATTAAGTCACCCTGTTTTCTGCCGTTGCTGTTGTCGGTTGCCAAGCTCTCAATTTCAACGACATTGGATGTCTCATGCACATTTTACAACATACCATAAATCCCAGCTAATTAAAATTGTTTTTGCCACTTTCCATGACGAGAACACTTGCGTAAAGCTGGATCGTTGTTCTAAGATAACAGGCCTTTCAAGGTCATCGTCAGGTAATTTTTTCTTATTCATTTTGGCGATTTTTAAAAGCACGTTTCTTGCTTCCTTCTCTTTATTATTTAACAATAACCATCGCGGTGATTCTGGTATCTGCCTACAATATTAAAAGCAAAGGTATATATATAACCATGATCTTTACTGATATTATATTCAGGGGAAAATGAATTGTGTACATTATAATAATTGGTTATGACGCTGTTGTTGTTAATGTTACTTCTGTCGTTGTTGATGTGACGTTGCTGTCGTCGTAGTTGTTGTTATAGTTATGGTCATTTTTGTCATTGTCGTTCCTGGTCTCTGCGTAGTCATAGTATCGTTGACGTCGTCATTGTAGTTCTCTTTCTCTATAGGAAATATCCCAATGTACTATGTGTGGACTTTGTTAACTTACCAGACAAACAATAAGCAAGGTAAGCTACACACAACAGTAATAAGTAAGAACATTCTCCACTCAGGAGTAAAGAATCCTATCATTGGCAATATCATTAAGCCTAGCGTCCAAAACATAAAATATCCAATGCCAATCCAGGAACGGTATTTCTCTGTCGTGAACTCCATGAGCAGAGGGAAAGTGGAGGAATTGAATAGTCCTGCAGCAAAAGTATTTCGAACAATGAATAAATCAATGTATATAATTTTAAATATAAACTAAAAAAAACAAAAAGGAAAAACAAGAGTGTCTGAATTACACCCTTTGCTTTTTCAAAGCACGCTAGCTCTTTATACGCTTAGAGGAAACATCAGACTTTTTTAAAATTTCTTTTAACCAGTTTAGCGCACCAAGTGATGTATAATTGTTGTATAGTTACTATACCTGAACCGAAACCAATGAAAATTCGGCAAACAATGAAGACAATAAAGGATTTTGGAAACACAATAATTATAGATACGATAATATTGAGAGAAATGCCAAACATGCAAACAAGTCTTCGGCCATATTTGTCTGATAGATAGCCACCAATCGGTAAACAAATCAACATTCCAACCCAAAAACATGATTGAGCCACAGACAGGAGGATGGAATCATCACAAACCAGGTCGTACTGCAACAGAAAATGTTATTAATAGTTATTAAATTTTGTACTGATAATAATCGTTTAAATCGATATATAATTATATACATTCAAAAAATTTATTTTTGGGGTTCAGTATAACGAAGAAGAAAACGAGAATAACTACATGGAGGAGCGACAATACCATTAACTACAACAACAACAACAACAACAACAACAACAACAACAACAACAACAACAACAACAACAACAACAACAACAACAACAACAACAACAACAACAACAAATACAACAACAACAAATACAGAAATGGCAACAACAGCATGCAAACAACAACAACAACAATAACACAACAACAAATAATAACGATAAAAAGAATAAAGGCTAAAACAATAACAATAACAACAGCAACAACGATAACAACAACAACAGGGGCTTAATAGGGAAGTTATACGTTGTTCTCTTTCCTATACACCCTACGACTGCAAAACTCATTACACTTTAGCCACAGTGGGTCATCGTTTTCACGTGGTTATTTCCTCATGCTTCGTGTAAAATAATATAAGTTAAAAAAACTTCAAATAACATCAAAATGATATTAATGTTAGAATGTTAGGGTTTGTAATCCAAGTGATTATATACATTTTAAGACCTGACCAGGAACGACTGCGAAAAATGCAGCACAAGGTCCTCTGGTAGGAAACATAATTTATATTCCACCAAGTGAAGTGCAAGAAACCACATCATTCAAATAATATTAATGAACGTTTTAAATGTTTAGATAGGAAGCGACACAATTTTGTTAGAATACAAACAGTATAAGTCTGTTGGGTTCAGCGCTAAGTACAAATACCTCAACCAACAACATTCAGGGGTAAAGTAGTCCTCAAATACAACAAATACACCATTTTTAATCGATTTCTAACATGCACCGAGTATTAAATTGTTAAGCATTACAAATCTTAATGAGCTACTTCAGCCCAGCTAGCCGGGTTAGCGCGGTGCATGTAATCGCAATTCAAAAGTCAACTCGCTTAGCCGGGACAACTCGGGAAAAGCGGGACAACTCGGCCCATGTAATCATCGGCCCCTAATCCAAACATGCGTGTTTCCACATCCATGCATTCTACGAAGCAAAATATACTTATTGGAACACATACATTTGATATAAAGTTAGGTTGTATATTTGTTTGTGAACTTTAGGCCCCGTTTACATGAGACCGGTACGAAAATCACAAAATTTTCAATGTATTCCCCTTGACAGGAAATTTTCTTTTTCAGATGGCTTTTGTTAGCATGTGTTGTTCCAGACCGGTCTGAAATGTATTTGTGTTTACATTCAAGTCGGTTCGGTCCAGCAGGCGGAATGATTTGAGACCGGTCTGAGTTATTTTCGTCCCGATCTCCTGTAAACATCTATTATAAATTATACTATGACCGAAATGAAATGATCCCGGTTTGACTTCGTTCCGGTCTCATGTAACGGGGCCTTATTTACACACGGCATACTTATCAGGATTTTTCATCAAAGATAACAATAGAAAACAATAGTTACAGAATACAAAAGTTAAAAATTACCGATTATATACACATATATTTCAAGAATACCTGTTTTCCATAAGTGCCGTGCTCAACATATAAAAAATTTAAAACTATTGACTAATGTATAAAGTGGCTATAGTCTGATTTGAATTTACATAATGAGCTAGCTAGACTGTCTCAATTCAACTGGAAGAGAGTTCCACAGCACAGAACCACTATACTCTATAGCTAATACTATTTTTCAAGTAATTTGTGCGTGGTTGAGGTAAAGCTAATTTTCTACTGGTGTCTCTCAATGCATAATTTATTACGCTACTTCAATCAACAAACATTTCAGTTAGATAGTCTGGCACAAAACCATTCAGAGATTTATAGACCATTATAGATTAGGTAATTTTTTCGCTAAGATTCAAGGTTTTTCCAGCTCAGTTTTTTAAATAGATATTCAGCATTTGTATCATAATTAGATGAAGTAAGTACTCTAGAGCAGAGGCGGACTGGCTACCTCAAGAGGCCCCGGGCGATTTGGCTAGATGGGCGCCCTGACCCGCCCCCTCCCGCAAAAAATTACTTTATCTTATTTTAATTTTTAGTAGGCACTTTTATCATTAGTCATTGATCTGAAAAAATGTTATTGTTTTATAAAAGTAACTTACGCAAATAAATTATAAATGAAATATAAATTTATGTTCTTAACGTCAAAATGGAAAAAGGAAATAATATGTTGATATTGTCTACTCTCAATGTCTTCATGGCAAGTGTCATCCTTTTCACCAAAATGTATAGTTTCCTTTTTCGAATTCTTTTTGTTGCTAAAGCAAACCGGTTTGCTCTTGGCTTTCTTTACGAACTACATGTGGCAATATTCAGGACAGTTGGAAAATCGATGCTGATCATTTCAAGTTTTCCATTAGCAAATTGAACCATTCTCAATGCTTGAAGAAGATTTAAGCCTCACGTTTGAAGGCATTCGGAGCGTGGTGTTGTAATTGAAAAGTTGCCCAGTTGCCAAGATTTCAAAACTAAATTTTAGGCAGAGGATTGCGCGAGCCGCGGGCCACGACTATTAGATATTAACATGCAGTGTCGCCCCATCGATTTTTATAGTATATAACTAACTTTATATTGCTTTAAATTGCAACGCTTCTCTGCAGCTGAAAACGCTCACTTATCCCGTTTTGCGTTTTGGCGCCCCCCCCCCAAAGCCATCCCTTAGTATCTTTTTATGTATATATAAAAGAAAAATACTAGGGAGAAAAGATCGCAGGGACCCTTAGTCGGGCGAGAAAAGTGGTTGAATCGTGCTTCCTGCTTTTCATGCTTATGATTTGGAGCTTCTAGCCATTTATTTAAATGACATTTAGGCCAATTTGAAGGGGCCCAAAATGGCCTTACAAGCAAGGCGCCCACCGGGCGTTTGCCCGGTGAGCCCGATCTGCCAGTCCGGATCCGCCCCTGTTCTAGAGTGCTGCCGGTATTTAACCTGAATGGAGAATTTAACAAGAAAAGTTGAAGTCTGCTACGCTGACTTTGGGGGTGTTCTGGAAACGAACAATAGGCGCATTTATATCGGTAGGCCTAAATAAGCTCAATATTCATGCTTTTTTTTCATCCATTGTCTATTTCGAAGCCAGTGAGGTCATTCATGACCCCGCCACATGACCACATCATATGCAATTGCAACATACTCTATTTTATATTATAAAATAGCCTTTTAAAAACACGGAACAAAATATTAATAGTTTAAACCGCTGTGAATAAAACAGTCCAGTAGTTCATTCAGTGATATATATGGTTCATGCAGTGTTTATAAAAATGGCGCACTAACATTGTTGTGATTGTCAAACGTTCGGCAGGAAGTGACCCTCTAGAAAATTTGAAAACACCCGTTTTATATATGGAAATGTAATCGTTGTTATTTTATATTCATGTTCGGGGGAATTTAAGCGATGAGAGTTGCAAAACTTGCAAATACCGCTCACGACCTCACGTTTTACAGCCAATATATTGCATGAATATTGTTATATTGGCTAACAACCATTGACAGATTGACTCTCTTACGACCGTATTCTAAAAGCTCACTCACACTCACACTCAATGAGTGGAGATTCAATCTGAGCTTTTCTTGAGCGTCAATGCTGTTTTTGAATAGCTGGAGGGTGAGTAGTCACATAGTAGGTGCGACACTAACCCTCCAGCTATTCAAAAACAGCATTGACACTCACGAAAAGCTGAGATTGAACCTCCACTCATTGAGTGTGAGTGTGAGTGAGATTTTATAATATGTGTGTTAGTCGACGTCTCCCAGTGCTATTGTTGTTCTAAATTAACTATAGATAGATATTTTATTTTTCCATTATACAGTTACAGTTTTGATAAAATATAAAGATACAATTCATATGGAAGGAAGACTAACAAGCCCGTCAGGGCTTTTCTAGTAGTCCACCCTAAAAAGTTTTAAAAACAAACTAATATAACAAAGGAGAATAGTGTCAGATAATGTCAGGTTCAAGATATATGAGGTCCACTAATACAAATTAACTTTATAAAGTTATAAATTATTTTTATTTACATTTTTTGTGAGTACAACTGATAATCTTCAGAAGAAAGAAGATATAATTTTAGATTGCACTTAAATATGTATTTACTATCGCTATTTTTAATGTATTCCGGCAACATATTCACACTACTGTGCATCTGTTTTTTGTGGAATACAGTCCATAGTTTGTTTTATTGTAGTGTTTGTGTAATTTCATAGAGCCTCTGGTATTATGGCAATGAATAACATTGTTTTTTATGCAAAGTGAATCAAATTGAGGTGGTAGTGTATTTTTTACTGCGTCGAATGTGAACAAGCCAACTTGAAAAGCATTTATCTTATTAATATTTAGTATTTCTAGCGTTGAAAAAAGGATTGAAGATGAGAAAGTATAAGGCAAAAATGACATTATTTTCAGAATCTTTTTCTGTATCGTTGATCCTGACTTTAATCTTGTTTTATAGTTGCTAGCCCATAGTATATTACCGTAATATAAATGTGGGTAAACAAGAGTATGATATAGAGTTATGAGATGTTTTTTATTTAGGTAGTGACGAACTTTACAAAGAATGTTAGATACTTTTAATAATTTCTTAGTTATGTAATCAATATGACTTTTCCATGTTAAGTGTTCATCAATTATAATACCAAGGAATTTAGTTTCTTTAGCATTTTGTATAATTTTATCATTAATCTTAAAGGTTAGATTTGCGTTATGTTTTTTCCTGAATGATTTGAATATAATGTAGTTAGTCTTTTTAATATTTAAGGTAAGCTGATTATCCTTAAGCCATGTTTGCACAAGTATAAGTTGATGATTTATTTCTATTTCAAGTTGTTTCAGGTCTTTTCCTGAACGAAATAAATTGGTGTCATCTGCAAACAATATAAACGAAAGATTACTAGAGCAATGTATATCATTGATATATAAAAGAAAAAGTAATGGGCCCAAAACTGTTCCTTGAGGAACTCCACATTTGATCGTTTTTTCAGTTGAGTAAGTTACATTATATTTAACTATCTGTTTTCTGTCAGTCAAGTAGTTTGCAAACCAATCATTGCATATACCTCTAATTCCATAATGATGAAGTTTAGTCAATAAGATTTTATGATTTACGGTGTCAAATGCTTTAGAAAGATCTAAGAAGATACCAACAGTATATTCCCCGTTTTCTATTGCAGTAGATATTTTGTCAACTAGATCAATCATTGCGAGACTTGTTGAGTATTTATTACGAAATCCGTATTGTTTGTCATAGAGGATATCATGTTTAGCCCTTAGGGCGCGGATAGGGTCAAATTTGACCCATAAGATATTTGGGCTCCCTGTAGCAAAAGTATGCAAGCTAAAGTTATACTGCGCATGTCAGTTTGAAGCACACGACTTACTCTTCACGATAAAAAAAAATTCACAGCGATAGCTTGAATATTGACGATTTTATAGCGATTTTTGTAAAGTTTTCGAACAGTTTGTTTACAAAATGGCGTCCCAAAAGGATAACCTAAGTATAAGGCAAGTAATGGCCACGTTACATGCCGAAAACGAGTCAGAACTCGACTCAGATTTATCGTCAGGTATCGAAGAGGAAACAGATTCATCAGCTGATGAATTTCAAGCCTCTTCAACGTGCAATGTTGATCCATGCTTCCAAAATTCAGTGTTTCACAGTGATGACAATCCCCAACAAGTAAGTAAATGATCTAATTTTTGTATTATTATAATGTTATTGATTTTATATTGAAGTAAATTTTCAATATAAAATGTAGTCAATTTTGAAACAAAGATATGCATGCTATAACATATTACTCACGCTCATTGAAATCTAGAAGTATTCTTTCTAGACATCAGCAAATTGGCTGATGGCAAGGCTAAAAGTTGTGGTTAGAAATTCCCTGATGACAAGGGCATGTGATGATGCTACAAATAAAGAGTATCAGCCATATTTTTGTTTCATAACCTTTTGTGTGATATGTAGTCATTTTCAAATTTGTAGGAATCTTGCAACAGTGACATCACTGCTACTAGTGACAACGAACCCAGGCCTAGTACGTCAAGAGCGAGCGTCGGACCCACTGTACGCGGGCGTGGAAAGGCTACAGGGCGTGGAAAGGCTACAGGGCGTAGACGTGGTGCGAATGCCAATGGTACACAGGCACAAAGGAATGCTGAGGAAAGTCACTTCAAGTGGATACCTGCTACTGGTAGACACCAAAATCCAAATGCTGATAAACCATTTTTGGAGAAGGTTGGTCCTACACGAAGGTTAGTTGGTTTGACTGAACCTATCGAGTACTTTTTGGCTTTTTTCACTATGAACCTAGTGAATGAGCTAGTAACACAAACAAACTTGTATCATGATCAAAAGTATCCTGATGGCAATGACAACTTTACGCCAGTTTGTGCTGAAGAAATTTTAGCATATATCGGAGTTGTTATTGCCATGGGGTTGTACAAACTTCCAAAACTTGACGACTATTGGAAGAGAAATGGAATATCACATATGCCTTGGTTCTCGTCAATATTTTCTCGTACAAGATTCAGAGCACTAAGAAGGTATTTCCATTTGAGAGACAGCACAAAAAGACCAGATAAAAATCACAAGGACTATAAACTGTACCAAGTGATCCCAATCATATCCTGTTTGACAGCAACATTTGGTAGTTTGTACGTGCCATCCCAGAATGTAAGCATTGACGAAATGCTTCTTGGAACTAAATGTCGGGTGTCATTTACTCAATATATGCCAAAAAAGCCCAAACGATTTGGCATAAAATTATGGGCTTTGTGTGAGGCTAAGACAGGTTACTGCTGTGCATTCCAAGTATACACTGGTAGGGAAGATGCTGCCAGACCTGAATTAGGACTGTCATACAGAGTTGTGTTTGATCTCATGAAGAACTACCTCGACAAAGGTTACAGACTTTTCATTGATAACTTCTATACTTCTGTACAATTGGTCTATGATTTACTACAGAGGCTTACATATGCCTGTGGTACACTGAGATCAAACAGGAAAAATTTACCCTCGCAATTGAAAGAACAATTGGGAACTGGCGAACCAAAATTTTGGCGTTGTGACAATTTAGTCGTTACTCACTGGAAAGATAAAAGAGATGTGTTTGCTATGTCTTCCATGCATGGAAATGATAGTGAGGTTATTACCAACAAAAGAGGTGACAAACAAACTACCAAACCAAAAATGATATGCGACTACAATGAAAACATGGGGGGAGTTGACCTGTGTGATCAACTTGTCTCATATTACAACATCAGCAAGAAGTCCTGCAAGTGGACTCAAAGATTAATTTTTAGACTTATAGACATGTGCATTGTAAATTCTCTTGTTGCATTCACTGCCAACAACCCTGCTTTCAAAGATGTGTATCGAAAACACAAAGTGTTCAGAGAAACATTAGCACATCAGCTGGTGCAAAAGTTATTGGACAGAAGAGCCAACCCAAATGTTGCTTCACCACCGGGCCCAGGTAGACCAGCACAAACTAACGAGAAAAGATTATTAGGAAAACATTTTGCAAGTAGGCATGATGTTCGAAGACGATGTGTTGCTTGTTCCACAAAGAGGACAGCTGAGGGCAAATATGTGGACAAAAAGACAAACAATTATTGTCACAAGTGTGAGAAACATATATGTCAAATGTGTTTCGAAAAGTATCACACTTGGTCCAATGTATAAATATATCTCCATTTTACCTGTAGTGATAGCTAGTGTATATAAGAATAACCTATTTTGTTTTATCTGTACAAAATATTATACATTTTTAGGTATGATGTCAGCAATAAAGGTAATTCAAACTTTTTCGTGTTTTTACAGGAATTTATACCAGCAGTTTCCGGCATAAAAAAATTGATAACTTATGTAATACTTTTGCTACATATATAATTATGGTATCATTTTGAAGCCAAATGAATTATCTCTTCATTGCTATGGCCCAAAATACCATTCACGTCTTCCATGCTCCACAAAAGGTCCATAAAACATTAAAAAATGTTTTTGCTTGGGCACGCCCAACTTTTTGTGGATGCCCGCACCCCCCGACAATAAGGTCTGACTCATTGTGATGCCAATATTCAAGAAGTTTATAGCAATAGCTTCAAAATGATATATAATATGTATGTATAGGATCATTGATTATCTCCAAAAAATTAAATCAATGCAAATAAGTTGATCATTAAAATATTCATAAAAAACAATTCGGCTCCCTAAGGGTTAGTGATGTAGGATGTTAATCGTTTAAACATTATTTTTTCTAGTATTTTTCCAAAACTTGGTAAGACTGAGATAGGTCTATAATTCGTAAATTTGGTTTTGTCACCAGTCTTATAAATGGGTGTAACTAGCGACATTTTTAACTCACGAGGTATAATACCACATGTGAAGGATAGATTGAAAACATGGCACAGTGGTATTGAAATAATATGGGAAATGTGTTTAATAAGTTTGGAACTTATTCCATCGATTCCGCAGCTGCTTTTAAATTTCATAGAGGCAATTATTTCTTCAATTTCTTTGTTTGAAGTGCTTTTTAGAAACATAGATTTTTGATAGTCACCTTGTAGGTGCTTGGTGAAATTGTTAGAATTCTGATCGAACTTCTTAGCTAAATTTGGTCCTACATTAACAAAAAATTCATTAAATCTATTTGCAAATTGTGTTTGGATTGTTTATTTCCCTGCCATCTTCTAGAGAAAACCTAGAAGGTAGCTGTTTTCTCTCTCCTGTTTTGCAAATTAATTCATTTAGTATTTTCCATGTACTTTTCAAATCAGCTTTGGCATCATTTAACCGTTTTTGAAAATGCCTTTTCTTGGAGACTCTTATAAGATGGTTTAATTTATTTCGGAATATTTTATACTTCGTTCTATTAAATTCTGTTGGCTTGCATAGAAATTTCCTGTATAGTTTAGTTTTTGTTATCGTGGATTTTATTAGTCCATTAGTTATCCATGGTTTCTTAGGGCATATGTTGTCTTTTAATTTAACCACTTTTATTGGAAAATGCTTGTTAAAAATTCCTTGAAAGGACTTTTGAAACTCTTCATAAGATTTTTCAACGTCAGGTTTTGATAGTGTAGATGACCATGTTTGATTATTTAATTCATTAACAAAGGATTCTCGTGCTGCATCAGGCATTGGTCGAGTTTTACTTAACTTAACACCGTTTTCAACTTGATTTTGGTTATAATCTAGACATATTTGGAATACTGGTAGGTGATCCAATAAATCATTAAATAATATTCCACTAATTTGTTGTTGATAGCTAACTTGATTGCAAAATATATTGTCAATTAAGGTTGCTGTATGTTCAGTTAATCTCGTTGGTTTAGTTGTAAGGGGGAGAAACGCAGAGGATGTTAGTTGGTTGAAGAATCTGTTTGCAAAAGAACAGTTTTCATACTTGAGTAAATCAATGTTAAAATCTCCCATTAGATAGCAAGGATTATTTTCTCTATCTACTTTCGATAGGATTTCACGTAAAGCTTTTTCAAATTCATCATATTTGCTATTGGGTGGTCGATAAATAATTCCGACTATAACATTAGGGCTATTATGGTTCAGAATTTCAATAAATAAAAATTCTACATTGTGTTTCCCAGTTGTTATACCATTGATATCATCGCGGATTTTAAATTCAATGTGATCTGTTATAAATGCCCAAATTCCACCGCCAGATTTATCTGCTTTCCTGTTTAAGTTTATACTGCTATATCCTGGTATGTCATAGTTCATATCAATGTTGTCTTTAAGCCAAGTTTCTGTAAGCGCTATTAGTGAAAATTTTAATTTCAGTATATTTAGAAAAGTTTGAAGAGAGTCGACTTTATTCTTTAAGCTTCTTATGTTTAGGTGCAGTAGTGATAAGTTATTTGAAGCTATATTTTTAGTTTCTATTAAGTTATTAAATGTATTGGTGGTATAATAAGAATTTTCAATTACCGGATTAATTGCAGATTAACTATTATTTAAACTTTTAAACGGATCAAATACTATATTATTAATTCTGTCCATATCAATCTCTGATGTCGAGTTTTCAATAGTTTGTAAAAAATCAGGATTATTTAGGTTATTAAACGGAAAACAGGATTCCAAACATTGATGACATGCAAACGAATCATTATTTGATATCACATTTTTTAGGTCATTGATTCTAATCTTAGTGCATCCTGTTTTTGTGTGAAAAATGTTGCCACATATATAACATTTAATTGACTTATCAGTAATTTGCAAGTTGCACGCGTAGCAATATGTTTCTATTGTTTGATCATTATATATAGGCATTTAGATTGGTTTTTGATTAAAGTTCGTGCTGAGTAAGTATATATACTTATTAAAAAACAGATAAACATCGAGTATATTATTGTAGATATCTAAAATTAAAGTTTATTTACAGCAATTAGGCTTCTACATAAGCCATATAAACGATTATTGCTTGTAGTCCAGCTTGCCTTTAGACCATTGATTCTATATGAAATTAACCAACTAAATTTTGTTGTTAGTAGAGTATTGAATGATTATAGAATAGCCTAATTCTTTGATCATATAAGGCGTTGAGAAAAGACTCTGTCCTTTTTATATTACTGTTGACTATTCAGTGGCCAAATATTGTGCCTAATCCACTTATTCCACTATCCAGGTTGCATCATGCACTTCTAATTGCCAAACACTTGGATTACATGAAGTTACTAGCAAAATAGCAGCATTTAACGAATTTAAGGAGGCTCCCTACAGTTTCCAATATATGTCAGTGTTTTAAACTAAAAGCCATTTGAATCTAAAAAAACTAATTTTTTGCACAAGCCATTGTTTCCTCTTATATAAAAGAGTAATTTTATCCCACAATCGCTACTCTTCACGTTACCATGGCAACATGACGTCATCATCTATGTGGCCTATATCAACCAAAAAAGCCGTCATAGCGGACAAATAACCACGGTGACCTACCTTTTTATTGCAGAAAATACATTGTTATCAAGTTTTGAATATTTTTTATTTGTTATTATAACTTATATAAGTTATTTGAAAATCGTCAGTGTAGTTTTCGAGAAACTGAGTTTCAGCCTTTAAGACGCATTTTAGCCTTTGGAAAGGCTGAAATTCAGTTTCTCGAAAACTACACTGGCGATTTTCAAATAACTTTCAAAAAAGATTCAAAACTTCATAACAATTTTTTTTCTGCAATAAAAAAGGTAGGACACCGTGGTTATTTGTCCGCTATGACGGCTTTTTTGGTTGATATAGGCCATATAGATGGGACGTCATGTTGTTCATGGTAACGTGAACGTTAGCGATTGTGGGTTAAAATTACTCTTTTATATAACAGGAAACAATGGCTTGCGCAAAAAAAATTAGTGTTTTTAGATTCAAATAGCTTTTATTTGAAACACTGACATATATTGGAAACTGTTGGGAGCCTCCTTAAGGTTATAGATTTAGACTAAATAATTATGTAAAAAAACAACGAAAGGTATATATTAGTTATATGTCGTTAATTTTGACGATTTCGCGTATATTTTTGGTGTTTTCCTGTTGGCGAGTTAATGTAAATTTGTGCGAATCTAGGCGATTTAAGTTCGATTTAACTTCGGGCAATTTTAACCCGCGATTTAAGGCGAGTTACAATAACATCTCAGAATATAGGCCTTCCATTCTCCAACTCTCTCTCTCCAGTTACTCCTTACCTCGGTAACAGTGGAAGTAAAGTCATCTACAAACGTCCAAGCTTCTCTCGGCATTTTACATCTTGCTTTGTAATCATCACTGGTTAATGTTATTGATTTGTTAAATCTACATACGGTATTATTCATATATCCATCAACACATTTCCAGTCTGGTTCTGCTGTAATAAACGTTACTATCATGACATTGAAAGCGCCCGTAGTTAGAAGACTGTATCCCAACAAACACATCAGAAACCACTGGTATTGCCGAAACTCCCCGATATGCTTCAACATTTCATCGATTGTGACAGCCATGACGGATTATTTAAGCTGAAAAATTTAAAATAAATTTAAGAACGACAGAGCGCAGACGGTAAAGGATAACACGTAATTTACAAATGGGCACTTGATACTTTTACATAGTTTTAGAGGTAGCCTGGTTTCTCTGTTATATTTAGCGAATCTAGTGCTATAGTGCATGCACCATAGAAACCATGCACTGATTTGAAAAAAATCGATTTTTAAATTTTTTAACTAAATAGTTGTATGCATGGCATGTAAATGATGTTGTGAAAGCGTTTATTGGGTTGTATTTAAAAAATTGTTTTTCCAGGAGCTGTTTTAAACCACCTCACTATAATTTTAACTTTTATTTCCATGGTAATGAAATGTTCTAATAAATAAATGGTTCACAGAAAACATTAAAAGGAGAATTATTCACTGGGGTAAAGAAGTGCGCAATATAGATGACGATGAAACGTGTAGTTAGACATTCAGTACCAATGTCAATAGTCATCATCGAATCGTATTCGGATTCTTCGACATCTCCTATAGTGGCTGCATGCAGATGCCGAGCTGTGGATATAAGTATTTTTATGCCATTATATGGTTTAATACATTATTTCTTGCTTCATTGTTATTATTTTCCAATTTCAATGCTTCTTGGTATTAATATAGTAAAGAGGTTGTTTTGTAGGCCTACTGCAATTTATATACATACTGTAATTATATGTCATGGCGTCGTACCAATTTTGAGAGCTTATTTTGGGCCAAATATGTTTATAGCACATATATAACTAAGCAATATGATATGAGTACAGTTATAACCAAATTTATCTCACCACATGATATAATTTGGTGTCAACATGCAATTGATTGCATAAAAAAAACTGTGATAAGTGTTGGATCTGCATGCATGTTGAGCAATGAGTGCCGGGTGCATTTTTACACATCCTGGTTAGCATTGCAGCAAGCGGATTCGGCAAAGAAAATTATGTAAAATTTAGCTATACCAAATTGAGGACTATACTGGAATGGGATGACCTTTAAGTGTTAACACTTGAATATCTTAAAAGCCAAACATCAAACTACGGGAAAAACGGAAGCAATGTCTTGTAGAAAAATAGAAAAATCAACATTTAAAATGAAACTAAACGAGTAAATCTTCAAAAAGAAATTACTTTTCATGACAATTCCATGCCCAATAGGCCTACAATTAGGTTGTCTAAAAGATCCAGTGGCGAGGCTGGTTGTCATGCTTGTTCTACTAGGCAGGAGTAAAAACGTTTCAAAGAAAAATAATTTTAAATCTTGTTTTAATTGGGGTTTTTTTCCCTAAAAAGTCTAAAAATGGTTTTAAATGCACTTGCAACATATTCAGTGCTAAATCCCTTCAATTCAAATCAGGTAATTTTGCCTACATGTTAAACCAATTCGAGTCTTTTCGAAGTATAACACTGCCATTAGACAGATTCGAAACTGTTTCACCCGTCCGCGGGTTTAATGACATGACTAAGGGGTATAAGTAAATAGTTTAAAGGTATAAACTAGTGCATGCGTAGCTCGCCAAATTTTTCTCTTTTCCCATGCCCATTTGCCAAAATAGCATGTCATGAAATCGAGCAGCGTCAATCCAGCATAACATCTGAAGGCCATAGTACCAGAGACATCTCTGAGCAGCCTATTAGAAATGCCTTTTAGCCCATGAAATGTAGTGAGCAGAAAACAATTGTTCAAATCTAACGACCGATTGCAAACTGAGTTTTTGTCAAAACAAAGAATAGAAGCTTCCAAAAGTCGTGGTATACATGCAATGAGGGACTGATTGTGTGCCAGTGAGACGAAAAAGGTCCTATTTTCCTGGCCATGCCTACTGTTTCATCCTAAATCGACAACTTGGACACATTGCACATACCGGTACACATTTCGAGGGCAAAGAGCGAGACAAAAGCGAAAGAGCTAAAAAATTATGTTTTGAAGCTATTTTACTTTTTCGCAATAACAATATGGAAATTAGGTAAATGCATGAATTGATATAAAGGAAAAGATCTTTCTGTTGAAGCAACCATTTCAGTAAGTGAAGAGAGATAGCAACTTGGAGATATTATCAACTACAGAAATTTGATTATTACAAAGATCAAGATTTTCTCGGCATCTCACTCATTGAATAGTTAAATTGGAATTGCAGTTTTTTAACTCCCTCACTCCCTTAATATCATGTAAATATGCTAAACCTATTACGTTGCATTGTGGCACTATGCCCGTGGAAAGCAGTTGGCGTGTAATAACCTCTTTCTAATATATAGTATATGCCTATTTGTGTTACTGGCCATGCACATAGTATCCATGATATGATAAATAAAGGAAATTATGATGTATCTGCATATTGTCTAATTATATCTTCCTTGTTCATGCATGCTCAAATAAAATTGCTCTTGATATATATTGCGAGATCGTCATCTATATATTTGAGTTTTTCACTTTTCATTAATTTAAGAGCCCACAAAGGCTACAATGCCAGGCCAGGGGCCCACAAAAAGTTCGCGTTGACTCATTCCTGGCCAGCACGCCCCCGTTTTTACTCTGTCTAACATCAGACAATTTTACTCTTCAATGGGAGACTGCAGACAATGGGTTAATCTAAAGCTCACCAAATGTATTCATTCAGTATTATAAACCTGTAACAGCTTATACAGTTATATAGCCACAATTGAAAGGCTTTTAGAAATTCAATATTGGGACAGGGTGTTTGCTGCAAAACACTACCTATCACTGGGAAATCTCCTTGCAGTGACTGTTTGTATGGTTACAGGGAAGTTTGCCTTGCAAAAAGGATTTTACCATGTAAATATTTTGTCTGTGAACTTGGCAAGCAAGATGGAATGTACTGCCGCCATTGCATTTATGGTTAATTAACAAACCCAAGGCAAACGTTAAACAGCTATTTATATCCTGTTGCACCACATAAAGCGTCACTTGGAAAACTATTAGATTCCTTTTGAATTCCACTTGGCCTTTCCCTTTTGTCTAGGTAACTCACACCCATATAAACAGGGCCATTGATTTAAGAAAGCTTTTGCTAATTTTCGTCATGCACATCTGAGACTTTGTCTTTGTCCAAGGGTAAATTGCACAGTGTATTGCTGGAATAAGAAAGCTCTTTGTTTTAAAGACTTTTATTAACGATTTTCCTTCCACAGAAGCGTAAATAAGGTTACAAGGCAAGAGGTATATATTACCACAGTCACAGATGTCAACACTTGAATTTACGTTTATAAACATTTATATTTCGCTCGTTCCTTTTCATGTTATAATTTCGACTAAATCACTGCACTTTCCGCTTACAACAATTTGAGTAGAAATTTGTATATATCAATGATAAACTTCACTTGAGACATTGTCTTGACATGAATGATGAATCGACGATAACGTGAATTGACTGCTCTGGAAAGTCACTCGTTTAAACAATCCCAGTAAATCGCTGTCTCGGCTCACGCCGGATAACGTTCGCGCGATCAGCTCCTTATTCAAAGTTCTCTGTGTATTTACTAGAAAATACTGTACATGCATGCAGAAACCCTCGCCTTGCTGACAAAACCATTGTATTTTCCGAACGTGAAGTATTTAAAGTAATTGTCATGGTAACACGATAATATTTAAGAATATTTTTACAAATGAAAAATCCCCTAAAAATATCACTTTTAATTTCAAAATTATCGATTTCCCAAACATATATATGTTAGGTATGTTATTATAGTACGTAATATAAGTTTCGATTTAAGGTAAAATTCAACGACAAACGCTTGGCAAAACGTTTTAAAGTGTTCTTTTAATATAGAACTAAACTGCCTTTATCGATAAACTTTGAGTTTGAAATAAAACGATTCCAAATTCTCGCATGCAAATAACTATGCTTATTATAATAAAAAGGGTAATCAATAAAGAAACACTGAAATAATATGCTGTCTTGTTTTATATTTATACGCAACGATCGGCTTTTAAAGTAATTACAGTATATTAAAAGCAAACAATGCATCAATATTTAAAACAAACTTACCTTCGTTAACGTCGGCGCCTTTATTCCCTTCTTTTAGCAATTCTTTCGCCTTTATTTTATCAAAAAGCTTTTGAAATTTGCAAAATCTTGCAAAAATGAAATATATTTGGCAAATATATTTGGCAAATGAAATATATTTTGCAAAATATATTTCAAGAAATCATCAAATCAAGATTTAAGAAATGTTTGCTATTTCGCTGTCGTCATGCAGTCGTTATAATGCAAATTTTAAACTGAACCAATC